AGAACAGTCCCAGGCCATCTGATACCAAGATGTTCGGCCTCCTGATCCCCCAAATATTCTCCTCCTCAAAGGCTCTCGGTACCCACAGAGCAGTGCAGACTGGCCAGGCCCACCTGGGCTTACATGGGACACCTGCGCTCCAGATGCTTACCCCATCTTTCGTTGCAGACAGGGTGGAAGTTCAGCAAACTCAGCCCCAGACCCTGAACCAAGCAGAGCTTACCCCTCAGGCTGCCTCTGAGGATCCCCAGGAGATAAGGGCAGCAGCCACCTGCTCTGTGAGGACAGAGGAAGGCCAGCTTTCCAGGGAAGCACTGGTGACATGTGAAAAGCTGTGGCCTACAGCCCAGGCTCTCTGCACACAAGCCCCCAGAGCAAGAGAAGTCAGAAGCAGGACCAGGTGTGCAGACACAGTAGGAGAGACCGCAAGCTCCTGGGGTGAGTAAAGTCTTGCCTGGAGCCACAGGCCCAACCAAACCCCACTGGCAAGCCTGCCAGCGGGTAGCCACCAGGCTCTGCTTGCTGAGGAATGACTGCTTGGGAAATGGTCTCCAGCAGGCCCAGCCCTCTGAATCCCACAGGACTTCCAGTCTCACTTGGTAACAGGCCCTTACCCCAGAGAGGTCAGGTCCTCAGTCCTCTGCAAGACACATGCACTCGTCTCTAGGCTGTTCCAACTGGGATGCTGTCCCTTTTCCCTATCCAGGTTCCTGGCCCGGACCCATCTACCCACAGGCTTCCTCTGCCAACTCTAACCAACAGCCCTTCTTCCATTAAATGATGTGGCACAGACGGGCAAAGCTGATCTTCCACTCCATGGGGCCCACGCCCTTCCTTCCAGCTTCTTGACAAGCACCTTCATGGTAGGAGTGAGAGACATGCTCCTTCCCTTTTCTCTACCTGTTATGCTCTATCTTTTTTTATTTTCATTTTTTTTTTTTTGGTACCGGGGATCTAACTTGGGTCCTTGCGCTTGCGCAGCAGGTGGTGAAACCACTGAGCTAAATCCCCGGCCTGTTATGCTCTATGTTTAGATGTCCTCTGAGAGCCTCCTGTGTTCAAAAGTTGACTGTATTAAGGGGCAGGATAACTGGCTTGCAGTTTGAAGGCAGGGCCTGGCTGGAAACGGCAGGTACTGTGGGTGTGCCTGGAAGGGTCTGTCTTCTTTCCAGGCTCCTCCCTCCTCTTGCTCAGCTTCCTGCCACCATGCCCCGAGCAGCCCTTTTCTACCATGCCCATCTGCTATGTTATTGTGCCTTGGAGCCAGTGGACTCTGGACTGAAACCTCCACAAACTGTGAGCCAAAGTAAATCTCTCATTTAAGTTGTAGGTGTCAGGTATTTTGTCCCAGCAACAAGGAAAGTAACTAAGACAACACCTTTTCCTAAATCCCTTGTCATAGGGCTGGCAATATGGGAAGTGCCTCCTCTAAATACCTCTGTTCAGTGTATGTCCAGATCAGTATTTATTTGTTCATCTGCAAACACCTGGGTGTCTACTGAGTAGTGAAGCTCCACTTCCCTCCAAGGAAGAGCCACTTACTCTGTGTGCCCCAGCAAATCCTACAGCACCTCTTGTGATGATCTACCTAGTGTGTGATAGTTAACTGATTGTATCAACTTGAGTAAGAAATGCCCAACTAAACTGGATCAGCATAGTTCTGAGTGTGGCTGAGGGGATTTACTGAAGACAGAAGATTCACCCTGCGGTGTCTTGCCACCTATACGGTATAAGGGAGAAACAAAGAAGGAAGGATTGCTTCTGTTTCTTTGGAGGAGGTCGTCTTCACCTTCACCTTGAACATCCTCTTCAGCCTTCCGATGCAGATGCTTCAGCCTCCACAGATCCTTCCAGCTTCCATCGAGGACCCTTCGGCCTCCAGATATGGGCTTGCATGGGACACTACAGTGAGCTCCAGGCCTTCGACTGGGTCCTTCCATGTGCAGGCAGCCCTTTGGCACTCTCCCACATCTGACTCTGTGGACAGCCACTGTAAGCCAATCTTGTCAATTCTTACATATTCGTATAGCTTACATTCAATCTGTTTCTCTAGTAAGCCCTGATTGATACTCCTAGTGTTTGATATTAGTGATTGATAGTCCTAGTGAATGATACTCCTAGTGTTTGTCATTTCCCTCCAGATGTCATAGTCAAAGGCTCCTGGAAGCAGGGCCACATCCCTTCCATACTAGCACACAACTAGAGGGTGTTGGAACTCTTGGTTCCTTTTGGTGAGAAGGAATGAAGTTAAATACAAATGACTTTTCCAGCTCGAGACCATGGGGCTTTCTTGAGGACAGTAGCCTTTTGTGGAGAAAGGAGCCAGTTGGAGAACTGGCAAGACACACAGCTGGTGGCATGCACCTAAGCCACACACAGCCCAGCAGGGCCAGCTTCCAACTGCTCCTCCAGTTGATGGACACCCGTCCTAGAGAGTGACATAAGCTGAAGAGTCATTTCAGGGTCAGTGTCACAGTCAGGAAGAGCCTGCCCACAATCGGGCAGAGCCTGCCTTGGCATTCACTCTTCAGACAAAAGGATATATTCTCATCTATTGACACTGTCACAGCTAACAAATTAACAGGGAGGATAAGGGCCTAAATCAGTGATGGCCAACCTTGTAGACATTCCAATGATAACAAACAGCCCACTGTGGCTTGCATGCCATAGGTTCACCACCACTGACCTAAGTCAATAAATGGGTTTGTTAAGAGCCACGAGATTTAATGTACGCTGACAGTATGTTCTGCCAAGATGCACCTACAGTTTTTCCACCTTTTTTTTTTCAATAAGCAGTGGAACGCTTCTGTAATAGCACTATATTTAGTTACTGAATTTTTCTGGCAGTTTCTGGCACAGGCAGTGCGGAAACAGGCTGTAGATGTGTTTGTGTGCTGGTTCCTCTGCTCCCCTGGCAGAGGGACGGAGCGCCCAGTCAGGTCTCCCCCAGTCCCTTACCCCATTCCTTTAACCTCAGGTGTATTTTACAACTTGGGAACTGAGGCAAAGATAAACTGGAACCCGCCCAAAGCTCCACATAAGGAGTGAGCAACAAGGCTAGGGTCCGGGCTTCAAAGCCATGCCCACCCTGCCTCTGCTGCCCCTTGGGTCTGTCAGCTCAGGGGCTTTCTGAATGCCTCAGCTCATGCATCACCACTGTGCCTGAGGTGGGTATAGACAGACATGGTGCCAGCCAGCAATGGCACGACAGCTGACAACTGAATGGCTCCTCGGGGCTCTGGAGGGCTGCACCTGCAGTTCTGGGTCAGTGCTGAGAAGACACAGCACATGGGAGCACACAGAACAGCTCTGTGCGGCCTTCCCAGGGCCAGCAGTAGGGCTGCCTGCGCCTGCAGGGGGTACAGGGTCGAGTCTTGAATTCCGACCCAGAGGCAGTGCCAATGACATCTTGTCACTGTAGGTTCTTCATCTAGCTTTGCTCCAGCCCTCCATCAAGCCAGAGAGTGCCCTCTGCTGCCATGTGGCTAGTGACAGGTTTGGCTGTTACCCCTGTCCTCCTTGCTGCTTGAGTGAGGTGCTTCCTGGGCAGACGTGCCTTTTGTCGCTGCAATTTGAGCTCTGGCCTGGATCTCCCCAGGTAGGCTGCTGCCAGCCAGGTAGACAAAGAGCACCTGCTCGCCCCCAGGTCCATTCATTCTGCTCCTGCAGAAGCAACTCAAGTCCAGGGGCTCAGGCTCTTCATTCCTGGCTCTATCCTCCCAGGGTCCAGCACATAGTAGCTGCTCAATAATATGCAGTTGCTTTTTCAGTAGAGGTCATACTGCATTATCCAGGCTGGCCTCTAACCCCTGGGCTCAAGGGATCCTCCTGCCTCAGTGTCCTGTGCACTAGGACTAAAAGGCATGCCACCACATCCAGCTAGGCACATACGTTTGATGGAATAAAGTACTCATCTGGAGGTTGATCAATGATCTTTTTTTTTTTCTGGTACCAGGAATCAAACTCAGGACCTTGTGCTTTTGAGGCAGGTGTGGTGTCATTGAGCTAAATTCCTGGCCCAATCAATGATTTTTTTACTCAGAACATAGGAAAGAAAAGCACTCGATGGAAATTTGAACCTCTTGCCCATCTTTTTGAAGCCTGGGCATTTGCTCAGACTGTGACTGCTTGTCTCCTTCAAACTGCATTGGCAGATGGCATTTGACTTCAGACAAAATCATACATCTAATTAGTTTTGGCAAACTACTTCATGCTAGTCCCTGACAAACACCATGACCTCTCCTCATCCACCAATGGAGCCTCCTGCTTCAGGAGGGCACCCATTTGGTACCAATGGCTACACTGCCACCTGGTCTGGCGGCCTCTGCCAGGGCTAATATTACCCCACTTTACCCATTAAGAGCCTGAGGACTTGTCCACGATCACACAGCTGGTGACTGCATGGCTGGGATCAGAGCCCAGATCTTTCCAACTGCAAAGAAGTGTTCTTTTCACAAAGCCTACAAATGCCAGAAAGTGCCAACGGTTTTGCTGTGGGGACAAAATTTGATCAAAAGTTGCCTTTCCTTTAAGCAGCAGGCAGGAAAGGAGTAAGGCTCAGGAGGAAAGATTTCTGCCAGCAGGCAGAAGCTCTGCAGTGCAAGAGCAGATGCTCTCACCCTCTAGGCAGTGGCCTAAACTGTACAGATGATGTCACATCACGCCTGTTGCAGTCCCATGCAAGACTTAAAAAACAGAGCTGCCTCTCAGGCTGAGCCCAGTGTTTATCACGTCACTCCCAGTCTCAGTGGTTGAACATAAAGACATTGGGAAATGGATAGAAACCTCTGTAAGTAGCAAGGGAAGCCTACCCTACCACGCTCACTGAGAGATAGGACACACCCAGCGCCACCTCTTCTCTGCTGCCATTGAGATCTGACTACAATTGTCTGGCAAGTTTGCAGTACATTTGTCTCATCTCCCATCTCCACCAGAAACACAAAGCCCTGTCAGGCACCATGGGGCTGGACTCTGCATTCTCCAGAAAAGGAGAACTTTACCTCCCAGAAGCTGTCACTGCTCACTTCTACTCCAACGGAATCGTCGTAAGTGACAGACATTTCTCCAAAGGGTGAGGGCAGCAGCAAATGCTAAGGTTCAGAGGTCCACTCCAGATGCTCAGAATCCGCAGACAGACCTTCGAGAGAAACAAAGATTGCTGTGGTTTTTACATTCCCAAGGCAAAAAAGCAAGTCATCCCCATCTAAGAACTTTCCATTGCCATCTCTGCTTTCCATACAGAGCAGGCTAAAATGTTTCCTTTAAGTTGGAGGAAGTGATAAACTGATCAGCTCTGGCACTGATGTGTGTTTTATATTACCAAGGAAACCTCATCATCTTCCAAAAAGCTCAAAGCACTTGCCAAAGAATAATTCACATTCTCAGACCCACACACTGATACCTCACTGAATACCCACCCTGCCCCTCGAGGAAAGGAGAGGCCTGTGCAGAGAACAGGCCAAGGAGGCAGTTTTTGGTCTACTGCTCGCTCATCCTGCAGGAGCCCATGCTAACCATCTGGCAGAGTGAGGACTGGGTGGAGACCCAACGGGTAACATTCCCACCTTCAGCGCCCGACCCACCCTCCAGAGTTCCCACCACAGTCAGCTTATGGTGGGCGCTGAGCCCCACCCTCATCTTGCCAGACATATCTCAGCCACTGAAGCCCCAGATTCAGACTAGTTTATTCTGACACTCTATGTGAGCTCAGCTAGAAAGAGAAAGACATTTCAATCCCTTTGAGTAACAGTCAGTGATCTGCAGGCCAGGCCAGGGCAAAGGGGTGATCATTTCCTCTCCAGGCACTTTGCAGCCTGGATGAGACTGCTGCCTCAACCTTCCTTCTCTGCAGCCTGCATCCCCCAGCCAACAGGCCAAGGCCTTGGCTTAGCAAGGGGAATAAGGGGTGTGCAGAGCAGCTTGCTCTCCTGGGGCACTCAGAGTACAAGGCTTTGTTCTGGGCACTTACTTACTTTATCAAGTGGCACTTTATTGCCTCCTTTCATTCAGTTGTGTCTAGAAAACACAAATGGCCCTGGGCCAGACTGGCATACAGTATCATGCCTGATGGTGTCAAAGGACAAGGGGACACATCTCTCCCCAGACAGGTCACACAAGGCAAGAGATCCAGAATCAGGGCTGGAACCCCAGAAGGTGGTCTAGCACCCAAGGAAGGCAAGGCTCCTTTGGAATCTGGGCGCCTAGACTGCAGCCCATAGCACTGGAACAAAAGCAAAGACTTTGGCAACTCTGAGTTTCCATTTGACCTCTTATGTCAAATAGTTCTGAAACAGCTCAGGCATGTAGCATACACCTATAATCCCAGCACTCAGGAGGCTGAGGCAGGAGGAATGTTCTGAGTTCGAGGCCACCCTGGGCTACCTAGTGAGTTCAATGCCAGCCTGGACTACATAGCAAGATCCTGTCTCAAAGATAAAATAAAATAAAAATTTTAATGGTCCAAAAATATTACTCTCAGCTACTACAGGAATATGGACGGCGTTTTAATAAAAATACTATTTCTACCTAAGTGTTGCCACACAGACCAAGTCAGGAGAGGATGGAGAACTGCTCTCTCCCACATTTCCAGGCAGCACTGTCTTAACAGCCCCAGGACCTCAGGGGGAGTTGCTTTCAGAAATTACTGGTTACAAAGGCCAGGCCTCGACATTCCACAAGGGCTTCCTGAATCCCTGAGTATTAGGGTACTACTTCTGCCACCTTTAGTCCTCAGGACTGTCTGTGATGACAGCCTAGAGGTACCTACAATTAGGTCTAGAAATCCTAGACTTGCTACTCAGTAGCTGAGCAACAGTGGGCAAGTGCTCTACCTTTTCTGTGCCTCAATTACTTTGTCTATAAGAAAGACAATAATAGGGCCGGGGATTTAGCTCAGTGGTTTTGCCACCTGCTGTGCAGGCGTAAGGACCCGAGTTCGATCTCTGGTACAAAAAAAAAAAAAAAAAAAGACAGTAACAGAACCTGTATCACAGAAGAGCCAAACACAAAGGATTTAGAACAATACTTGGACCATAGTAAGTGCTACAGACAGAGTAAATAATAATGAACTTAGTGCTGCTGTCATTACCACTGTGAAGTAATTAGTATTACTATCATACTTTTGTTTCCATTTTACAGTTGAGAAAACTGATGTTTTGGGATGTTAAATAATAGGCCCGTGGTCACCAAGTAACAAAGGTTACTTGACACGAACTCTGCTCATTTGTTAGGACAATATTCTCTCCACTACACGAAGATGTTTTCCAAAAACAATCTCAGATTTAGGTAAGTCAGGTTTCTGTCACCTAACCCTAACTGCTGACTGCCAGGGTTTAATCTGGTGGATACAGAACCTCCAACAGAGAGCATCCCAGTATGCAGCTCTTAGCACAAAGCAGGAACAGATGATTATGGGGCACCTAAAAGCCTCACACTCCAAACCACTTTGGCTGCCGAGGCAGAAATGGCATGGTTAGGACCGATGCCGTAACAACAGGCTCTTAGCACAGACAGAACCTCACCTCAGACAGACTTGGTGGGGACTCCACTCCACAATCAAACCACCAGGGATCACGAAGACCACCTGGCTGGAGCCCTGCTGCTGTGTTTCATAGCATTCCTTTTTCCTACGGGCTCCTATACTACCAGCCAGGGTCCTCCCATAGTTACCCTTGCCCACGGCTGCAACTGCAGGTTCTCCTACCCAAAGAAGCTGTCTTCTTCAGGGACCTCAGAGAATACCAGGCCTTTTGGCACACACGAGTCTCAAAGTGGCCCAATCAAGCCACTGCTGGAATGCCTGACGAGATCCCAGAGCAGCTGTAGGAAAGAGCAGGAGCAGCTTGGCCCTTGAAATACTCAGGTGGAGAATCTTATGTCCTGCCTGGATACAGTGTGGTTCAAACACTAATGGAAGATCAGCTCTGTGCAGGATTTATGAAGAGCCTACCAGTGCCAGGCACCAAGGAGAGGCTCAGCACAACGGCCAACTTTTAGGGGCAAGGGCCTGGATCCCTGCATCAGAGGTAACAAAACCAAGACACACTTAAGCTACCAAGGGCATCCAAGAGGATACATGTTCTCACTGGCCAGGAAACAAGGATACCTAGCAAGGGGACCAGCCAGAGCCACACAGGGGAGGGCCCAGTTGAGGACTCACCCTCACCCCTTCCCTCTGTCCAGCGCTGTGCTCGGTGACTGGGACACTCCCACATCATCACCATGGGACTCCTTCCTTCTAATGAGGGCTAAGCCTCCCCAACTGTCATTCTGTGCCACTTCGGCTCACGTCATAGCCAGAGCCAACTCGCCTATCCTCATGGGCACTATTCAGAGTTGTTTAATCTCAACCAGCTCCTCCCACAGTCTTCACTCCCGACTTACATGTTCTCCAAGAGTATATGGCTGTCAGGGCCAGGGCTTTAGATCAGTAGTTCCGCCGCCTGCCTCGCAAGCTCAAGGTCCTGAGTTTGATTCCCAGTACCAAAAACATAAAAAAAGAGTACATGGCTGTCTCTAATCTCAGTAAAACAAATTTAGGGAGACAAATCTGCTTTTCCAAAACTATACAAGGCAGGGGGTGGGGATTTAGCTCAGTGGTTCCGGCACCTGCCTCGAAAGTGCAAGGTCCTGAGTTTGATCCATGGTACCAAAAAAACCCCAAAAACAAAAAACTATACAAGGCATTCTGGACCCAACGACCTTGGAAGCTGTGCACTGCCACTATACCTTGTGTGACAGTTGTGATAGTTCAGAACTAACAGCATTTCCTTCTGAACCCTCTCAGCAGATTTCACTCAGGATCTCACTGAACTGTGCAGTAAGAAGCAGCAAAGGGATCCAAAATCCTACAGAAGACACTGAGGCAGGGTAAAAAAGCAGGCACAGTGATGGAAAGAGCTGAAGATGTGCCACAGAGGTAATGAAGTAATGAAGATGAAAATGAAAATGCCCACAGGAAAAGCCTAGGATTGTGGGAACCACAGACTTCCAAGTCAGAAAACTCCAGGTCCAACCCCAGCTCTGCCACTGAGCAACGGTGACTGGGAAAACCCGTGATTCCTCCAGGCCCGTGTTCCCAGCTGTGCCTCACCAGCTTTCACTGAAGGGGAGACAACATGAGACCTGAAGACCCCAGGACCTCAGGCTGCAGCCATGGCAGGGCCTCCTTGGATAGGAGCACTGTTCCTGGCCAGCACCCCGGGCTCCAAGTGTCCTCACTACTCCCTTCAGCTCCACATCACTGTCACAAGGGCTGTACCATATAAACCCTACTGCCGGGCTGGGGATGTGGCTCAGTGCTGCACCTGCCTGGCAAGCACAAGGTCCTGAGTTCAATTCCTAGTAACGCAAAATAAATGAACAAACAAACAAACCCAACTGCCATCACAGCACTGGGAGACCTGGAAGCACACCTGACACTCAGAGTAAAGTCACCCTTGGGACCCTGAGTGCAGGCTCCAGCACCCGAGTGGTGCTTTCTTGTCGCAGCTCCTACACCCACACCCCCTGCTCCCAGGGCTCTGCAGCAGGGGCTTTGTCCCACTCCACCCCCACAGCACCTGCACCACCCCAACATCTGGGTCTCCTGCTCCCTGCTGTTGCACACTCACAGTCTGTTTTGAGGTTCTGCCCCTCTGGGGACAGCTTGGGTGTCCCTCTGGCTCACATGGCACTGATGTGCAGCACCCTGCAGCACCTCTCTCTTGAGCCAGCCTCTCAATCCAATGGAGAAGAGCATATTTACCTTACAGGACTGTACGAGGATTAACAGGGGCAAATGAAAGTTGTTTGACATACATCTGACACTCCCAAAGTGGTAGCCATTCTTTAAAAACCAACATCCAGCTGGGCATGGTGGTGCATGTCTGTAATCCCAGCTACCTGGGAAGCTGAGGCGGGAAGATACTAAGTTTGAGGCCAGCCTGAGTAATTCAGACCCCATCTTGAGGAGCGAGGATACCATCCATGGAGCTACTCAAAGGTAGTGACAAATGTCAGTGACCAGAGCTAGATATGGTTTTCCCTTATCGTTGCTACTGAATAAGCACTCTTTCTGAGCCTGCCACCTACCACCAGTCTTCTCTTAACCAGAGTGATGAGGGAGCCAGTCATCACTTCCAGCCTACAGAGACTTCT